ATACCCATTATTAAGTAACTAACTTGGATATACCATTTAAAAATATATCACAATGTTTTGCACACATGGAACATAATATATCATTTACTAAAACTATTTTACATAGATTTCATGACTTACCCTATAGTAATGTTATATTAAGCTATATTATTCTAATTTTAGAGAAAAAATATTTCAGAATAATAAGCAAATTGTTTTATAAGCAGCTAAGTAAGTTACAAATATACATTTGAGCTCATGTTTATCTAGGTCAAAAGTCTACTCCCTGTACTATTGCTTTCCCTTCCATTTAGTCCTCTTAACAATACAGAAAACATATGTGATAACTGCACCTTATGTTTTCTTCTATTGCAAATAAAAGGTCAAATTTTGTAAATAACTTGTCTAATATTATCTGGCAAATGGCAGAGTTTGAATTGAATCCCAGATCTTCTGACAAGGATTTTGTTATTTTCTCTGTTCACTTTAATACAAGTGATTTATAGCATATGCTGGGGGCGGGGGATCAAGTCTGCCAATTCAAAATAAAAAAAGAGGGGCAGAAAAAACATACTAATGAGGAAGGTAGATCTAGATAATGTTTTAAATTTCAAGAAATAGCAATAAACTCTCAGCTATTAAAAGATTTGAGGAGCAAAGATTCTGTTATGGCATTAAAGGTTTATCTGAAAAAAAATGTAAACCATATGACATTCCACAGAATCTTTTTCATAAAGAAAAAAGAGAAGCTGTTATTTCACTGTGCTGTTGTCATGGTTACCTAAAACCCATGACTCTCTGCTGAAATGTGACTTTTTTTTCTCCCCACTGTTTGCTTCCATGTGATGTGCCTTTCACCTGATGAGTGAATTCCCTGACCACTATTCACTCATGTCTATCATCCAGGAAATGTTGTTTCTCTTTATTTTAATTCTCATACTGATTATTGCTGATATACATTTTCTTTTTATTGCTAGTTTATTTATTGGTTCCATAATATTGGATCCAATTGTGTGAATATAGATATTTAGCAGTTAAATGTTACCGAGAAGCCCTCTTTTTCCAAAAATAATGTATTATTCTAACTGATGACAAACATGCTTCTACACAAAAAGCTTCTGATATTAAACAAACATTTACAAGAATTATGAATATAAACTATCTAAGAAAAGTAACATTTGTTACCTGATGTTTCAATTTATAGTATTATTTCATAGTAGCTCTGCCAGATAAATACTACCAATTTTATTTAAATGACACTCAGATGTGATCTTCCTTATTGTGTTTTCCCTTTTGTTGCAAGTACACATATATACTTACATAAAAGACTAGAGAGAACTACACAAAATGTCTTACTCCTGACTTTGTGTGGCTGCTTATTGGCATTGATAGTTTCTCAGCATTGAGGATACTGCATTAAAAAGAACAGTTTAAAGTCCTACAAAATCTATCCATGTAGAATTTATTTTTTTTTAATTTGTTGGAATTGGCACTAACATTTCTTTGTCTTTAAATTATATTCAATTCAGTATGCATTTATAGAGTCCATTACGTGTATAATTTACTATCCCAAGCTCTCTGGATACAAAACTATTCGTTTGTAAATGGTCTCTACTCCAGAAGGTCTGACAGTCTGGTAGGCACAGACAGGCTTGAAAAACGTTACATGTACTGAAGAGATATAAGTGCAATGGTATAAATCTCTACAAAGTGTAATAATGGCATAAAGGGTAGGGTACAATGCTATCTGAGTAAGGGAGGCCCATCAGTAAAGGTATAATAGCAGATTTTCATTACAATATAAACAAAAAGAACTGCTTTCCCATGTTGTGGGATGCACAAGAATTTTAAAGGAGCCCAAGGGGACAATATGTCAAATTATACATTAACATAATCGTGGTTGATTCAATCCTCTCTGAGCCTAAAGAACAAAATAGCTGTCTCAAATTGCAAAGGAGTCAGTCTCTTTGTTGTTGTTGTTGTTCCTAGATGTGTGACCTTGGACAAATCATCCCACCATTTTAGGCCTTTCTATCTTTTATAAAATATGGGCACTATATTAGAGACCACTGAGAAGTCCTCAGCTCAGGGTTAATAAATGCAATCACATCTCTGAATGCTCTATTTGTGTGTCAAGTAAGAAGATATCTAAAACCCAACTCAAAACCAGAGGCTTTGTAACAGAGTATCTGTCAGCCTAGCTAATTCAGAAGGTATTCAGGAACTCATTTAGCTTGATCTCATCTTACACAAAATAGTTTAGTTCTTAATTTGAGTGTTTAATTTAAGAAGAAGCATTCAAATTAATGGTGTGTTTATTATAGAACTGTGTTTTTATAAAGTGAAAACAAAGAGATACCCAGACAATCTCCATATTAATTAAATCACCAGTTCTCAGTGTTGGCTGCACATTAGAATCACATGAAGAGGTTTTAAAAGCAAAGATTCCAATTTCACAGCAATCTGAATTTCTGGCAAGAAGTTAGATGAGTGAAGTTCATGCAACTATTCTTAAAAATTTAAGTTTCCTAGGTGATTTTGATACTGAGAACTACAGAAATAAATCAACATAAAAAAAAAAAACCTGATCCTAATTGTTGAAGGACTCTTTAACCAGAGAGGCTTTGTGATTAAATGGACACAGACATCACAAGTTGTGTTTGTCACTTCTGCAACATTATCCCTGACACCACACACAGTGACTGAACAGCAAATGTCCATTGGTTTAGCCTCTCTTATTTAAACTGCTATGTGCTTGTTTTTCTTCAATGGACATGGTTCACTCTGCTTCCTCATTTTATCTGAAAAGCCTATTTTTTTTTTTTTTTTTAGAGAGAGGGGGACAGAGAGAGAGAGAGAGAGAATTCTAACATTTATTTATTTTTTCTTAGTTCTCGGCGGACACAACATCTTCGTTTTTGTATGTGGTGCTGAGGGTCGAACCCGGGCCACAAGCACGCTAGGCGAGCACGCTACCGCTTGAGCCACTTCCCTAGCCCCTGAAAAGCCTATTTCACTCTGACCAGTTTTCTCTAGAAAGTAATAAAATTGACCATAATCATAAAGAGAAAAGAGGAATAATTCAATTAATAATCAGTAAATGATTTAGGAAAGCAAACTCAAATATAATTCTGGGTACTTTCCAGTGGTGTTCACCTCATGCATCTAAATATCACTTTATATCTCTCCACCAAGCTTCAGGGTGTAAGTTGTAGGTTTTTTCTTTCTTTCTCTCTCTTTCTCTCTCTCTTTCTCTCTCTCTCTCTCTCTTTCTTTCTTTCTTTCTTTCTTTCTTTCTTTCTTTCTTTCTTTCTTTTCTGATATTTAGACAATCCTTCAGCCTTTCTAAGTCAAATGAAGCTACATAGTTAAGGAAAGCAAAAATGACAGAAAATGCCACATTCAAGCTTGACAGAAATTTAAGCAGTAAAATAGAAGGTGAGATAAAAGTGTTGTATTCTATAGATAAACCCATTTTATCCCATGGTCCCAGATGTGAGACTGCACCTTATGTTTTCTTCTATTGCAAATAAAAGATCAAAATAAAAGGTGAGGTATAAAAACTTACATATATTTTAATAAAAATAACATAATTAGTAATAAGAATATAATACTAATAACACATTAGCTCTATATTATGATTTCCAATCTACTTTGTTGCATTTGTATGAATTTCTTGAAATAGTCTCAGAATTGAAAACTTGGGACTTAGTGGGTTAAGTTAGAAGGTCTGAAGATTTACTGAAATTGTTCTTATGCATATTTCTCCAGTACTTCTTATGCAAATATACTCATTAATTTTAGTAAATAGCTAGAAATTAGTGGCCATTTTCCAGGGGCCTCCAATAGATTCCATTTCAAGTACATCATGGGAAAAACCCATCCACATGTCAGAACAGTGAATGCAAGATTCTTCTTATCTAACTCAAACATTAATTCCATAAAATATTGCTGGCCAGAAGTGCTGCATTAGGAATTTTTGAAAGTCAGGCAGAAAATCATTACTTCCACCTGTACATATTTTAAATGATAATTAAGCACTTATTTCTTTGCTCACCTTTGTCTCTTATCCAGAATGAAAAAAAAGAAAAGAAAATCAAACAGAGAAATGGAATTTAATTTTAAAATTGCAATCTTATGCTGAAACTGAAGTCTGCAAGTTCTTAGGAAGAAAATTAATTTATTTAGCCTTTAATGAAAATGTGAGAGTGGAACAATCCTTTGCCTCAAGACAAAATAGTAGTCATCCCTTGTAAATCATATATAGAGAGATCACATATCCACACTATCCAAGAACAAATATTATCCTTGCTATTTATCAGCTATGTGTTTTAAAACAAATTACATTATAACTTTATACCTTTGAAAGGGGGACATTGTGATATTAAGTATCAAATGAGCCAATACATAAAAACAGCGTCAACAGAACTTTATACATGCTAAATGCTCAATGAATATTAATAGTTTCCCTAATTTACCGAGTTGAGCTTCCTTATAAATAAAAAATTCAATCAGTATTTGTCAAACTTTCTTACAATAATAATCACCTAACATGCCATCCCAGGACCCTTCCATGAAGATTCTGATCAATGAGTCTGGATCAAGGCAAGGTATTTTTAATTTGCTCACTATATAAATTTATTATGATTAGTAATGCTGTTATTCAGAAGCACTAGCCTAAGTAATTTTGTCTCCTTCCTTCCTCCCTAAGTATTTTTTTAGTCATTGTGGTATGTCAGGTACATCCTAGGTTCTGGGAAATAAAATGATGAATTAAGTACTTTTTGTTCATTGTAGTTTAGAAATGTAGTAGAGGATATAAATATTGAATAAAAAATCACATAAATATCTACTTAATTATGACTGTGATTATTCTCTAATGGGAAAATACAAGGCACACTGATAGCTCCTAACAGGGAACCTTTTCTACATTAGTTTGGGAAGATAGGATGAAGATCCCCTGAAGAATTTATGGCTAAAGTTCATTTCTTCTCTTATATTGTACGTCTAGCACATTTTACCTGCCAAGAGGAGAAGAAGGATCCTGGGCTGAGTAGGTTAGGGTTTTCAGGGTGACGCCCGCCCATGTACTCATCAGTGCAAATATCACAGTTTTCTGCATCTCGCCAATCCCAGTATGGAACAGTGAAGTTCTCATCCCCTGTCAGCTCCCGGATATCTTGTTCCCACAATAACAAGAAAAGTCTATGCCAAGGCAGAAAACCTGGTGCTTCATGGGCAAAATCAATATCTCTCCAGATTTCAGATCCTCCAAGCAGTGTGTCCCTTGACACATAGTAATGCATCCAGACAAAGAGGTCATAAATGTTGACATCATTAAACATGGGTGTTGATCCATTATTCATTTGACCATAGGTGCCTGTGGGGATGACATAGTCTTTGCTAATAGTATTCTTCGCTAATATGAGGTAGGCAAGAAATCTATCTTTCTCCGGGATACTCAAATCAAAGATGTTTCTTCTCACCAAGAGTCGCTTTTCTGTGCAATTTGGTCCCCCGAATCCAAACCTGCAATTTCCACAGTTGAATCCCATGAAATTGCCAGAGCATTGGCAAGTCCTATTGTAAAAGACAGAAGGCCAAGATTCCCGGTCATCCACACCTGTGAAGGGGAATTGAGGCCCCCGTGGTGCATTAGACAGAAGAACGTCCTGACAGGAGCCTCTGCCTGAAAGTTGGCCACAGGGACTTCCATCACCACTCCATGGTGGGCAACATTCCTTCTGCATCAGGCTCTCAGAGGAGGCACAGGCTCGAGGGAAATGGCCTGCAGAGATCTGGAAACCCCACAGCAGGCAGCACAAAATAGCCAGTAGCATTGTTCTAGTGCTTACAGATCTGCTTAAGCAGGTTAACTGGAGCCACAGACTTCTTTTTCCAACTACCCTTATAGTGACTATCACATGTTTTGGCTAAGACCTATATAACTCCCCTCCCACCTCCAAATTGCGTACTGTCAGCTTTTATCTTAAGCTTTCATCTTCTGAAAAGCACATGATTGACTTTTTTTTTTTTTTGAGTTGGCACATATCCCACAGTGGGATTGGCCTATGTTAAAGCAAGAAATACTATTTTTCATTAATAGTTTAATGCTGGTGGTTATTATGATAATAATGGTTACTAGTAATAATGCCTTATCTAAGCAAACACAGTTCATTGGTTATGAAATTAATGGTGATTTGTATTGGCAAGTGAGGAGCTCTGTCAAGAATAGAGTTTTTCCTATTAAGAAAAGTCAGTCAGTGTTCTGGATGTCAGGCACAAGCCTGATCTCCTTAGAGACCATAAACGGACTACCAGAGAGAGACTTTCTTCAGGGACCACAGATTATTTCTTACATATGATGTATTTTAGCTTATTTATTTTGTACCAAGTATCAGAAAGAAAAAGCCTGTCTAATACTTTTCCCTGATTATTGATGCATTTTCTAACAATTATTAAGGATAGTTCAGTCTGATAGCTAGGTGCTCTGCTTCATTGTGTGAACATTTCTAATAAAACTTTTATAAATTGCTCCCCACCTCTGTGTGTGTGTGTGTAACACTCTAGCCACTTTGTCTTAACCATAAATTCTGAAAGTCAGGAATTTATTTGAAATTTTTATTGTAGTGTGATTCTTGCAACGAAATTCTTAATTCAGTGAGTGAATGAATAAGGAATAATATATTTATTCCACATTGTTTTGATCATCTAAATTTTTCTTGGAGTTACTTCTCTGTACAGTGAATTTAGAAATTGAAATGAATGTCAAAAATAACATTTTAGCTACATATATTAGTTTTAAGTTAAGCAGTATAGATAATAAGTCCATCAAATTTTTAATAAAAGGGATATTTTGGTGCACTGAGGATACTGGACAATGTTACATGGTATTCAAGTGTTATTAAGGGAGCACCCATGAGTACAACCTCAAAGGGTGGGTATAAGTTGGAGTAATGAAGGACAATAGAGACAATACCTGAGCAAGGGAGACTTAGAGGTAGGAGCTGCGTTTCATCTGCTGAGTTGGAGCATTAGATTCAGACAGGTGCCTTATATGATAGATAATTAAACCTGGAATGAGATCATGGAAGTCTTGAAGACTGACTAAGTGGTTTGAAATCAGGTGAGAACTTCTTCAAGTTGAAGATTGACAAGATGAGAGTTGTCCAATCACATTCCCTCTCTGAGGCTTCCTTCTTTATCTAGCTTCACAGTGAAGCTGGGTAGTCCTCTAAACATAAAGAACCAAGTGAAAGTGAACATTTGAAGAAATCATCTGTGTCTGGACCTTGGCTGAGGTTTCTGGGAAAAGCCATGCTTTTCTAGCACCACTGGAATGTCAGTTTACTCTGCATTCTTCTCTTGCTGGAGTTTGTCTCATTATTCAGAAAAAATGTCAAGACTCCTCCATATGACTCTCCTGAGTCTCAAGGCTGCCTTTGCAGGTGGATGGAGCAGTGTGTGGGAGCAGAAAAAGAGAAGAAAAGTTTCCATGGAAATGCTGCCTCTGGCTGGGATCAGGAAATTATCACATGATCTCCTCCAGGAGGCTTAGTCCTTTATGTCTCTCCTTTCAGAGCCAAAAAGAGATTAACACAGGGCTTCTTGTCCCTGGGAGTCTTGGTTCTGTATTACTTGTTACCACATGTGACCTTTTGTAACTCTTTCCATCTAGTTGCACACAGAGTTCAACTGCTCTAGTTCCAAGGCTCCCTTGAAAAATAACTTAGAACCTCTCCACAGAGCTTTCTAAAGTTTTTTTTGCATCTGTTCTCCCAAGTCTATTTTTCAGTATCTTCAGAAGCTGCTTAGAAAAATGATTAATATACACTTTGTCCTCATAATTCCCTTGAGTTTGATTTCTTTAAATTGACAGTTCTTCATATTTCTCCACAGTGTAGTCTACCATCTCCTCTAGTCCACCTAGATAAAAGTGTCATTACCAGTAATGGGTTCTTAGATACCAAACCTGTTTGGAGGAGACTCTAAACTCTGTTTAGAGGAGTTTTTCCTGAGTGACAGCCTCCCAGTGGGGTTCAACATCTGCCTGGCCTGGGAGGTGCACTGATTTAAATGATGTATTAGAGAAGGTCACTTTCCTACTACCTCTGTGGAGTAAAAGCAAGAATTCAGACACACCATTTCTCAGCAAGGTGAGAGAGGGAAACTTTTCTGGGAATTAACTCAGGACATTCAAAGCAGATCAGGAACTCAGGAGGCTAGATATAACAAAATAAAGAAGAAATCCCCAGCACTGCTTCTACTGGTGGTGGCACTGGCAGGTGCAATCACCCCTGCACTAAACTAGTAGAGCAATACATCAATTAAAGGAACCCCCAGTTTTAGGAGATCTGAGGTACCTATGGATATGGAGAGATCAGAGATCAAGAAATTCCCCAACTAAACTGAAATGTGTCTTGCACAACAATATTTTATGAGAAACCAAATCTCTCCCAGCTACCAGGTAAATCAGAGGAAGGAACCAATTTTCAGCTCCAGTATAGAGGAATAGCTCCTGGGATCCAAATCCTGAAAACTGTGCCTACCCCGAAAGCCAGGTTTGGCAAACTCACAACGCACAGTATAGTGTGTGTCTAAGAGTCCAGGAGAAAATCAAAAGTGGAGAGGGATTTACATAGAAGACAACCTGTCCAGGAAACACACCTGCTTCTTTTCTGCCCCTACAGAATGGCCACTTCAAAGATTGGCTGCTTGAAAATTCAACTGGGAAAGTCTCCCCTCATGGGTGACTCATACCAGACACAGAATTTGACAGAACAGGGGAATAATTGATAGTTAAGTCTGAATTTGAGATTCCTAAAAACATGAAGTTCATGCATATCTGAGGGGAACAAGAATTGGCCCCTCTACCACAGGACTGAGATCCAGGAGTTTTTCCTGAGGGACAGCTTCCCAGTGGGGTTCAACATCTGCCTGGCCTGGGAGGTACACTGATTTTTTTTTTAAATCTTCAGGTTTACCAAGCCTAAACCACACCCCCAGGTGTCTTGCTTATGGGATCTCCCATCACACTTCATCAACCCCACCTAACACACCTGAGAAGGGAAAACAAGAATCTTTGGAACTCTAATGGAAATAATTCTCTAACGTTTCAAAGGTCCACAACTTAAAATTGTAAATCCATACGTAAACTTATTGGTTTTACTGTGCACAATCATTGGTCATATGAACTCTGTTTATTGTGACAATTAACAAGTAGAGACCAAAGCAGGAACTATCTGGTTTGATGCTGTAAATCAATTGCATTGGTTGTTGTTTTTAACCTGTCTCCCCTCTAAACTGTGAGACACTAGAAAACTTCAGACACTGTAAGTCCACAGGGTAGAAACTCTACTACCTCAAAAACACACTGTGAAATGGGTAGACAAACAAACAACATGAAAAATCAAGGGAAAAAGAAACCAATATAATTCAATAACAGAATTCATTGATACCACAGTGGATGAAAAGATAAAGAGTTTTAAAATGTTCATATTAAATTGATCTGTGGGGTAAATATAATGGAAGGGAGAAAATACATGAAGCAAAAGATACGTCAATAAGTGATAGAGATTTGGGGAAAAAACAATAGCAGAAATCCGTGAAATGAAGGAATCAAAAAACTGGATGAAAGATTCATTGGAAGGCATCACCAGCAGACTAGACCACTTGGAAGACAGAGTTTCAGGCAATGAAGATAAAATATATAATCTAGAAAGTAAAGTTGATGATAGACAAAAGATGATAAAAAAACCATGAACAAAACTTCTAAGAAATGTGGGATAACATGAAAAGACCAAACTTAAGATTTATCAGTAGAGACAAAGACTCAGAGTTTACAAACCAAAGAAATACACAATCTTTTCAATGAAATAATGTCAATGAAATAATGGAGGTGTGTAGGGCCCCAAATATACAAAATTACAACTGACCCATACCAAGGCACATTATTATGAATGATTACATTTAGAGGGAAACCAAGCCAGATCACAGCTAATTTCTCAATCAGACCCTTAAATCTAGGAACACTTGGAATAAAATATACCAAGCTCTGAAAGAGAATGGATGCCAACTGATACCATACTTTGCAAAATTAAGCATAAGACTTGATGATGAAATGAAGCCTCTCATGATAAACAAAAGTTAAAAGATTCACAACTAAAATAATTTTACAACAAAACATTCTCAACAAAATATTTTATAAATAATAAAAATGAAAACCAGCAAATGGGGGAACTATACTGGAAAAATATTCAATCAAAAAGATGCTATTTCAAATTAAAAAACAGAAATAATTCAAAATAACAGGAAATAAGAATCATTTCTCAATAATAACATTGAATGTAAATGGCTTAAACTCATGAATCAAAAGACATAGACTGGCAAATTGGATTAAAAAACAAGATCCAACTATATGCTGTCTCTAAGAGACTCACCTTATATACAAAGACTCACCTTATGTTCAAAGACATCCTCAGACTGAAGGTAAAAGGATGGGGGGAAGCTTATCATTCACTTGGATCTCATAAACAAGCAGGGGTTCTTCTATCCTCATGACAGATAAAGTGGACTTAATTGTTAAATAAATTAAAAGGGACAAAGAAGGTCATTTTATACTGCTTAAGGGAAGTATATATCAACAAGACATAACAATTTTAAATATTTATGCTCTAAAAAATAAAGCAGCAACATATATTAAACAACCCTCCACAATATCAAGAATTAGATAGGTAATAACACAATAATACTGGCTGACTTTAACATGGCTGTCTCACCACTTGATCGATCTTCCAAACAAAAACTAAATAAAAAAATTATGGGACTAAAAAATACAATTAATAATTTAGACTTAACAGACATATGTAGACCATTTCATACATCAATGACTGAATAAACTTTCTTCTCAGA